TTCCTTTTTCTGGGTTGGGGCTGGGTTTGAACCCGCCATGCTCGGTATATGAGGCTGGTGCCCTACCCACTGAGCCACAGGTACCACCCAGCAATCTCAAACTCTTGTGCTTAAGTGAGCCTCTTGCTTCAGACTCCACAGTAGCTGGGACTACAGCTGCCAGCCACTACATTCTAATTTTTTCTATTTTTAGTAGAGAGAAGCGCAGGCTGGTCTTGAACTCATGAGCTTAAGCAATCCACCTGTCTTGGCCTCTCGGAGTTCTAGAATTACAGGGGTAAGCCACCTTACCCACCCTGATTAATCTTCATTTTGATTTCTTTCTTTAAATAGTGCAACAGATGCGTCAGGAGTGCTTTTTTTGGTGGTTTTTTTTAAAGAGACGAAGTCTTACTGTGTTACATGGGCTGGACTTGAACTCCTGGGCTCAGTTGATCATCTCAACCTCAGTAGTAGCTAAAAGTACAGGCAGGTGCTTTCATTCCTGCTTAGGGCTTTTTTTTTAATGGACAAGGAAAATTTAGAATTAATCTCCTGAAATTAAGAGAACTATGGGCATACTATAAGATTTAAGGGAAGCCACTCTTGGCTAAACATAGTGTGGTGATTGAGGTGAACAGGCAATGTGTACTTAAATGTCAGATGTTTTCTTTTATAATCTGTTTTTCCTTTGAATCTTTCCCCAGATTACCTTGTCACTGCAAACTCCGATTTAGTGATTATCACAGCAGGTGTACGCCAGATAAAAGGAGAAACACGCCTTGATTTAGTCGAGCGAAATGTGTCAGTCTTTAAATTAATGATTCCCAGTATTATCCAATACAGTCCCTGGTGCAAAATGATTATTGTTACCAATCCAGGTCAGCTTTATTTTGACTGTTAAGTGAAGAGTTTTGGGGAGGTTTCGTAACTTGGTAGAAAAGAATAATGAAATGAGCATTAAATCCTAAACTATCAATATAATTCTGGGCTATCATCCTGTTTGGTTGGTATAACATGTTTTTTGCACAGTTGTAATCAGCATAGTATTATAACGAAACTTTCTTTAAAATCCAGTATGTATGAAAAGGTAATCTGCTTAATCATATGCTTTCAAGGTTTACATTCTAAAGGCAGAGGTTGGTTCTCCTGATGAGTGTGTGAGAAGAGAAAATAGCCCTGTAAGTTTACTGCCTGACTCTTCAGAATTGTATTAGACGCCTCACTGGTGGTGCATGTACAAGGGAGACAAACTCAAGGTGTACTTTGGAGTTAAAATGTGTAGGGCTGCTGATAGATTATGTGTAGTAAGGAAAAGGGAGGAATCGAAAGTAACTTCTAGGATTTTTTTTTTGACTGATTGGATGGCAGGTAGTTCCACTTACCCGGGTTGGGATGCTTTCAGTGAGGTGGGAGTCAATGAGGGAAGGAAGAGATGTTAGGTGGAGGGAAGAAAAATCAAGATTTCCAATTGGGACATGTTAAATTTGAGATATGTGAAAAAAGGAACTGTCAAACAGGTAGCTGACTGTGAGTCCAGAGCTCAGTATTTAGGTATATTCAAATTACTGTATTCTAAAACAATTTGGACTGGGTTTTCTGTGGGCAGGTTAAAACCAAGCACATGACTTATGTGTATTCATTTTATTTTTGATACAAAAGAGCTTCTATTTGTTTCACAATTTTATAAAATATAAATATATAAAAAATATTTACATGGTTCTAATGTCAAATCTAGAGAATAGGAATTATTCTGACAAGTCTAGCCTTATCCTTATCCTCTTTTCCCTATAGCCTCCATGACTTTATAAGTAATTATTTAAAATTTTTATTTTATGGTTTTAGTTTATTGTTGCTATATACATGTTTCTTTTCCCCTCCTTTCCTCCCTTTTTCCCTCCCTTCCACTCTCTTGCCCCAGGCTAAAGTGTGTCTTCTTCTATTTTTAACTAAATATATTAGGAAGCTCACTCCACAACAGATTTAGAGATGTATTGATTAGCTTTATTGGTTAAGTTTGAAATCGAAATCATCTCTGTTCTTTGATTATTTTGGATCTTCTGGGTCCTTGGCATTTTCATATAAATTTAAGAATTAGCTTGTCAGTTTATGCAAAATAGCCTGCAAGAATTTTGATAGAGATTGCATTGAATCTGTGACCAGTTTTGGTGATATTTCCATCTTAATAATATTAAACCTTCTGATGAATGCACATGGGATATATTTCCATTTATTTAGGTCTTTGATGGCTTTCACCAAAGTATTGTAGTTTTTGATGTTCAAATCTTATACTACTTCTTGTTAAATTTATTCCTAAGTTTAATTCTTTTAGATGTTATTAAGGATGGAATTGTTTTCTTAATTTCATTTTTGGATTATGCATCACAAGGACAGTATTTGGAAATGTAGTTGATTTTTATACACTGCTTGTCATTGTGCCCAACTCATTAGTTCTAATATTTTAGTAGACTGTTAGGATTTTTTTTTAATAGAAAAGATCATGTTATCTATAAATTTTTATTTTTCCCTTTGTATTCTAGATATCATTTATTTCTTTTTCTTGTTTAATTGCCTTGGCTGGGACCTCCACTACACTGTTTTCTGAGAAGTAGTTATCTTGGTCCCAATTTTTGGAAGAAATTTTTGGGTTTTGGGTGTGGTGACACATGCTTGTAGTCCCAGCTACTCAAGAAGCTGAGGCCAGAGGATCACTTGAGGCCAAGAGTTTGGGGTTGCTGTGAGCTATGATGATTCCACAGTATTCCACCCAGGGCAACAGAGTGAGAGTGTCTCAAAAAAAAAAAAAAAA